CACTTTCATGTGGTGAGATGGGGTCATAACTTTAGAGACAGCTGTTTCGTATCAATTATTTTACATAAAATCATATTTCAAACCATAAATTAATGTTCGACAGCCAAATTAAAGAAACAATACAAATACAAGCTTACAGTTTAAATTCGACATTGTGTTGTCTACGATTAGACAGCTGATAACTCATTCCCGTACGTCGTAACTCTATAATGACCTTTGCTTATTGTCACATGTGCGCCGCATTCGCGATTGTTGCCGACGCCTGTTTGCAGGTCAGCCCACTACAGTTAACCCGGTTTACATAGCATATTTGACGAGGCTCTAGCTCGTTAATTTGGCGATAATTTCGATGCAGTGGTCTTCAAATATTTAGAGGGGATCATTTTGTAAATTGTTCAGCACCATTGGCATATTTTGCAACATCACGGACGGAGATATAAGCTTGCAACAAACCCTATGTAAACGCGTCTGTTGTTATACGCATCGAAAAACCGATAAACTTTTAGGCGAAAAAAGCACTATTTCGGGCCCATTTTTGATTTTTTGCGATATTAGGTAAAAACAGAAGCTTCTTATCCTAGGAAAAATAAAATGGGAAATCATTGGAAGGTGGCACACTACCTTTAACATGGCTTAACTAGTTCGGAACATAAATGTGGTCGTCATGCGGTATGTGTCGGCCGTGACGGTTTCAGGTTTGTCATAGACAGTCCTACCATGAACAGCCTATCAGCCAGTCCGTGAACGCGTATGCCTCAACCGCACACAGGCCTGCATGGTTCTTCCACTTGCTTGGCGGTACTTGTTCAGGATGTGCTTCACAGACTAGCGACACCGCACAGACAGACTTCACACAGAGACATCACAGTGCTTCACGGACAGACAGACTAGCCTTTCCCCGCCAGCTATTCTGCCAAGACGTACTGTCTCAGCCGCCAGCGGTCCTGGAACTGGGTGCGGAGGATATCGTAGTCGACGCCCAGCCCGGTATCCAGTAGGTAGCGATCCATCTCTCTCCTCCACTGCTCTGCCAAGTCGGCGACCGTCCCGATGTCGATTTGATCAGATCTGCGCAGCTTCTCGTCCAGGTCAGAATCACGAAGACCTTGGAGCCACTCCTTGCATCTCTGCTTGCTGGGAAGGGTGAGGTTGTTCTTCTTCCACACCCGGGCGTTCATGTGGTCCAGCAGTGCGTGCGCCCTCTTCCAGTGCGGGATGCTCGCACTGCACGCTTGTGTGTGAAGCTCAGCGTTCAGCAGCAGCTCCTTCTGGCCCTGCGGCGTGTCCAGCGGCATGGTGAGGCCGGGCGGCCGTTCGGCCGGTGGCAGACTCAGCTGCTGGCTCCACCAAGCCTGCACGGACTCGTAGCTTCCCAGAAGCTCGTTCATATCCTGATCGGTGAGGAGACGGAAAAGCGGCGCGGTGTCCCAAGCGAGGAGGCCGTCTCCCGTCGATGTCAGCCGCATCTCACCGATCGCGTCGTCCGGAGCCACCAGAAAGGCGTGCAGCAGGAGCAGCTGCTGTGAGTACGATCCTGTGTTGCAGTGGTGCGAGTACTCCAGCAGGCCTGGCTCTGATAGCCGGAGCAGGGCCGGCACACACAGAGCTGTCCAATGGCTCCACGCGGGGGCGGAAGCCCTCCACCGGAGACCCACCACGACTCCTTCGAAGATGAGTCCGCGCGCCAGTCGCAGACGGAGCTCCCGCTCTGACAGCGGCTCCGGCGGGCCCGCCAGCAGTGGGTCCATGATGCACTTGCCGATGCATTGTGCCAGCAGAGCTCGTGTCAGATCCTCGCGCATCCGGCCGATGGTGTCCCTTGTGGCCTCGAGGTCTGCGTCACTGAACCCATCCAGCAGGTTGATTTCAGCCCAGAAGAAGCAGGGAAGGTATTGGCGTTTGACGGCGTTTTCCAGCCACGACAGGATCATGCTAACCGCTTCTGTGATGCTGCTCCAGCTCTCGATAGGCGCGTCCTGGCACAACCATAGCACTGAGGTCTTAATGAAGTATGACTTCAGCTGCACAGCTCCCGTTTCCTTCAGCGCATTTTTCAGCCGCTTCACACTTTTGAGTGCGGTTTGCTGGTGCTGGTTCATGAGCCATGCTGCCACCACCTCTGCGCGAGAAAACGACAGCCTCCATTGGGCCTCAAACAGTTCGGTGCAGCTGCCTTTGTGACCAGTGGGCACGAGATGCACCCCGAAGCGGCAGATGTCGTCTCGTGCTGCGGCCGGTGGGAACTGGTTCAGGCGGTGACGGGTACGGAACTCCGCAGCAGGCCAGACGGGCAGATGGAAGCAGGACACCATGTCGATGCCGCCATAGATCTGACTCGGTCCGTCGAACGCCGCCGATGGTCCAGCGATGGTGATGGAGTTCTCCATCTTGTGCTTCACCCGCTGCATGTTGAACATGAGCCGTCGAATCGTGGCTGCCGAGAGTGGCAGAGGGGAGTCGTGGGCACACCCGACCTCCGGCATCACCCAGAGCGTGACGAATCCGGGCGTGGCGCACGGCTCCACCCTCAGCAGCGGCGGCGGGCGGTGCGCTGCTCCGGAGAGTCTCCCTGGCGCCGGGCTGACCTCAGGGACTCCCTGCGCTGCGGGCTCGTCGCCACCGGTCCACGGCGCCTGCCAGCGGCACGGACCAAGTTCGTACATCGCGTCGTGGTCGGAGGTGCTCGGCTGGCCGGCCTTGATGTCGGAGAAGTTCTCGGCCGTACTGCCGGACTGACTGATCTGTAACAAAGACAGTCGACCGAACGGCGTGCAGTTGGGACACTCGGCCACGGCGGCCTCGGCCCGCTGCAGGACGGTCCACAGCGGCGCGTGCGCCAGCCACAGCAGACTGTTGCGCAGAGTGTTGGTGACCAGACCGGCGTACACGACGGCCGAATGAATCGGGAGCTCCCTCCGGACCATGGAGCTGAGGGCCAGGTCAGCCATGTCTCCGAAACTAACTAAAAGTCTGTTCAATACAGCTTGCTTTTTCGATAACTTCTTTTCAGTCATTTTTTTAATTCTTATACACGTTAATCGATTTTCGGCGGCGGTAAACTGAATCTCACTTTGTCTTCACAATCAGACCTTTTACCAAGCGAAGGTTTGTTATCTTTTGCCGATTTACTTTGCTAAACCATCCACATTTCTGCATTTCTATAGGCGTCGGACATTGCCATTTTGTTTGTCATTTCTTGCATTTTCTGTTTTATCTTGGTAGCTCGTGATTCGTGAATCCTCTTGCCGGCCGCATTGGATGCTTCCATACCCTCATCGATTCAGTACATTGTTAGGTGTCGTCTCCTGCCATTCATAATGAGCACTAGTCCTGAGGTCAGTAACACGACACGCTGGCTGTCACAACATGACAACACCGGACCGGAGGCTCGCAGGATCTCACACACGCTCGCCACCTCACCACCACAGGCACCGTGTCGCGCTGAGACCCTAACGATGTCCCCACCTCTAGCGCAGAGGCACTGGTTCACCCCGCCGTGGTGTGGAAGAGACTGAAGGTGAGTGCAAGATGAGCCAACACTCCCACCGAGACTCGCGACATGGGGCCCGGGAGGTGCGGCACTCACATATGCATTCACGACGGTTACCTGCTTAAACTTTAGGTGGCTGCATTGCATACTTGTTGAGCAACTGTATACGGTGCCGTTCTACATATGTTGGACTTGGAGCCCTTGCATTACAAATATCGCCTAACATTGTGCAGCTCATTTTGTGTCCTAATGAGTTCAAACAAGCAAACTTCCTTATACAGCTGTTTGCTTTCACCCTACGCCCTGCCGAGGGACAAGCGAAATTGTGCCTATAAATACAACACCACCAATCGCCATGCTTGGCGATCAACGTCACTTTCTGTAAATAGGATGCATGAAGGTACCTACTCATTTTCTATATCCTGACAGGTGGCTCGCGCTGCGAACGGACCACTTCTTTCATCGCTCATCATTCGGAGCACGGTCTGACGTTTCCTTATCGGTAGAGGCGCGCCCCGATGACAGACGACCCCCATGGTGCATCGCCTCAGACGCCCCATAGTTCGTGCTAAGGCCTGGCAGCAGCCCACCCCGGACATTCTCCGTTTGATACGGCCTTCCAGTATAGGAGCCGGTCATGACGGCCGGCCTATCTGAAAGAATCTTGGGCCGGCCGGCCGGTCAGACGCGCGCGTCGAGATGACTGACGAACCCGTGATGAGTCGCACCTTCCCGAGCTGCCGCCCAAGCCGCGCCATTGCGCCACGTCGGGTCGCCGGTCCCTGCGCTGCGGGCCGGCCGGCGCCGAGCGGTGATCACACGGCGCGAGAAGTGATCCACGCCCGCAGTTAAACTGCAACGCTGATGAATGGGACAGTCGCTCGGCGCTGCCTGGACCGAGCGGTCCGATCGTCTGATGCAAGGCGTCCACGGAAGCTAATCCGAGTCAGCAGGTCACAGACCAGTTCTTAGCTGCTTCAGTCATGAGCTTAGTGGCAAGTTTCACGGGGGCACCGTCAGAGCAGCACGGCATATGGACAAGACAAATCGTGGAAAGAAACTACAATAAGTGCAGGGTTTATTCCGTCAAACTGAACAGCATTCTAATTGTGTATTCCAAAAGCATGTCAATTCCAATACCGATCAGGACCTGACTTTGAATGACATAGGTCTAAAATTTTCACAATATGTGCGGAAAAGATGCATGAACAGGTGTGCTAAAAACCTGAGGGGTGCTCACTCCCCGCCCGGAGCGGGATATGAATCCACACTGGCATCATTTCAATGTATGGGGCAGCCACACAGCCTCCTGCGTGGCACCGCGGATAACGTATGACGCTTGGGTTGTTTACCTCTAACAGGGTATAATTATGCGCTGGGGATTTCCAGCCGCGATCATTCCCTTCACGAAGCCGTCTACTAACCCCGCCTGCGGCGCCTGGGAAGACCGGTTTGCGGCCGTCTCGTTCCGGCCAGAGACTCCTGGGGCGTTCGCCAGTCGTCACTGCGCAGTCGCCAGGTTAAAGAAGACCCCCTGCTCCCGCGGTAGAGCCAGTCGTGCCACCGCGGCCACAGCAGCAGCATGGAGCGCCGTGCGCTCCTCCTGGTGGCCTTTGTGGCGGCTACCGCACAGGTCGTGCCTTCGGCTGCGCAATTTTCTAGGGCCACATCGATAGCTGATCTGTCGGACAGCGATCTCTCCGCTCTGCTGTCGTCTGCCGCTCGACCAGAGTCTGTCGCCAGGCCATCGCCAGGTCGTCTTCCGGACCTTGCCAGCCTCTCGCCAGGTCGTCTACCCAGCATAGCCAGGCCCTCACCAGGTCGTCTACCCAGTATCGCCAGGCCCTCACCAGGCCGCCTCCCGGACCTGGCCGGCGGGCTCACACCCGGCCGCCTTCCGGATCTTTCGCCCGGCCGCCGTCCCGCCCCCGGCGAAGCATTCCTTCAGCCAGCCAGTTTTGGTTCACGATGCTCAGGAACTCAGAAGTGCGTCAACATTCGTGACTGTTCCGCCTTCAGGACGCGGGAGGACATCCTGCGTAAGAGGCCGACCCTGTGCGGTTTCTCCGGGAGGGTTCCGCTTGTGTGCTGCGACGGTGAGAGTCAGGTCACCGAAAGGCCGCCATCCGTTCTGCCGAAGCAATGTGGCAAGCAGATAATTCAGCTAGAGCCCCTGACAGCTAAAAAACGCTTGAGTCGCCAAGTCCATCGCAGAAGACCCACGAAACCTTTTCTTCCGTCTCAGATGGTAGCAGTTGAATTTGAACGATTCACTACGCCGCGTCCGGTAATCGGTGGCAGCCCAGTTGACCTGGTCAGTGAATTACCGGGCGGCCGGCTGGTCCACCGCTGGCCCTGGATGGTGCTGTTCGGCCGCTGGACGGACGCCGGGCTGGGCGACTGGTTCTGCGGCGGCACCCTCATCACCGACCGGCACGTGCTCACGGCCGCCCACTGCCTGCGACCCGAGGAGGCCGGCACCGTGGGCGCGCGCATCGCCGACCACGACCTGAACCGGCTGGACGAGGTGGAGCACCAGCAGCGGAACGTCTCCCGCATCGTGCGCCACCCGCAGTACGCGGGCGCGCAGAACGACCTGGCCGTGGTGCGGCTGGCGGCGCCGGTGGAGCTGACGGACTCGGTGCAGCCCATCTGCCTGCCGCCGGCCGGCGCCGACCACCTGGGACAGGAGGCGGCCGTGGCCGGCTGGGGCCTGCTCGAGTTCAACGGCGACTCACCGGACGTGCTGCAGGAGGCGCCGCTGCGCGTCACCGACCCGGCCGTCTGTGAGGCCGCCTACCGGCGCGTGCCGCAGTTCGAGCGCCGCTTCCCGGGCGGCTTCCAGGGCACCAAGGTGTGCGCCGAGAGCCCGGACGGCGAGCCGCGCGACGCGTGCCGCGGCGACTCGGGCGGCCCGCTGATGGTGCTGAGCGCTCCGCAGGGTGAGGGGAGCGGCACCTACCAGCTGGTGGGTGTTGTCTCCACTGGCGTCGGCTGCGGCAACCCCCAGTTTCCCGGCCTCTACACCAAGGTGTCGGCCTACATCGACTGGATCGTCAGCCAGCTCACCTGAATTGCGTGGATATATGCACCCAGCTCAGCACCCAATGCATCCAATTGTGTACTTTTATGCAACTACAGAACACGATCTGTGTTCTTTCGTCTTTATCCAATAGCGCAGGCCAAGCTTTTAGGAATAGTTGTTATACCCAGCCAGCAGTGTGGTATGGCTCAAGTCCATTTTGCCCCGGCAACTCCGACATACCAGTGTAAACAGAACACCGTCGGAACATGGGGTTTGGGCCGATATGGCTCAATTCCGGTTAGCCAGTCCTTGCCGTAGCGCTCCGGAGTCGGTATGGTTTCGGACCGACAAGTCCGGCTAAGTCGGGATCCCTGCCACGGCGTCCTACGGCCAGGTCCGGCTGCCTTGTAGCTGCTCTGGCTTACTGCGGCTGAACTATGAGGAACGGTTTTATGAGGATTGTGGCCCTTACACGAAGTTCTCAAAAGCCGGCAACAGTTACATTAGTGTTACTAAGTAATAATTCGCCACATTACGTCTTGCCTACTCAACTTTCCAGACTGCTTATGTAACCTTATATGCATTCTGGACGGTCTCTACAGTGGATAGTGAGCAGTGAGCGCCGTTCTGGGTACTTCATAACAACTTTCTAAGCGCCAATCTTTGCGTCGCGAGGGTGCTGCAGTGAATTGTGACATAATTTCTTTCTTGGAAATGCGTAGAACTGTGTTTGACATTTATGGACTGTGGGCATAATATAGCAGTGCACACTGCACAAGGCCTTAATGAATAAAAAATCAGTCAGGGAACTGGATTTATCAAAAGGTTATTGGAGCTCAAACCTCGCATGACCTTCAGTGTCTCGTGTCAGGTAAGTATGCACCAAATAATAAGCTCGATAAAAGGAAAAACCTATTGTAGAGAACCCTAAACTAAACCTACTAATACTAATAATAAACCTACTAAACCACTAAATGCGCTGTCAAATAGCTCCACCGGTAGGGGAAGGTGGGGTAAGACGGCCCAGCGGGGCAAGACGGACCACCAGCCCTCCCGGTTGAACCGCTGCTGGTATCTACTGCTTTATGCACTCACTATGTTTGTTTTCCTTCGTAACAATGGCCACCTTGAGCTCATGCTGCCAGGATGCATAGCTTTTGAGTTATTGAGAAAAATGTTGTTTTTCGTCAAACCGATCTAATATAAGAGGTCTACGGGTGATTCAATTACGGCGCCTTTCTTGCATGATTAGTTTCTATTTTGCACTTAACTGTGAAGAACAAAGTTATAAACTTAGTTATAGTCACACTTTAGGAAAGGCAAGGTTTTGTAATGTTGGGCTATTTGACATATACGTCATGATAATGGCAGAATTTAGATATGGGGCAAGACGGACCACTGTGGTCCATCTTACCCTGTGGTGGTCCATTGTACCCTGCATATGGAAAGTTCTTTTCCAAAACATTGACACAAGTTTAAGTAAGCTAATTTTTCAGGAAGGAGTCTTTGTTGCACGTGAGCCATGCATGCAAGTGCTCAGTTAGCATGCATTCATGCCAAACGACAATCAACACACATGTTCCCAGCTTTTAGCTGCACTTCCATCACACATGAGTAAAGAATAAAGGCTCATTTTGTTATTTTACCATTCTGGTTACTTTTTCTTACAAGAGTACAGAGCAGAAGTGTAACACACATGAACGGATAGCAGGCACTGCTGGGTGGTCCGTCTTACCCCACGTTTTTTCTTGTCTGAGTTTTTGACATGTCCCCCTTTAAGAGCATCCACCACCTAGATGTCTTTAATTTGAAATTTAGTCTTTACACATATCAACAGAGGAAGGATTGAGCATTCCGAAGACTATAAATAATATGAATTACTAGAGCAGTGTAGCAAGATATGTGGCCTCAAACCTTAGCTGGTCCGTCTTACCCCACCTTCCCCTACCGGTGGAGCTATTTGACAGCGCATTTAGTGGTTTAGTAACATCGCTATATAATGAAAACCGTTTGATATTTTTTGTCATTTTTGCTTAGGTTGGTGTGGATTGAAACGGTGAATTGCCTGAGCAAAAGTGACAAAAAAAAAATATCGAAACGATTTACATTTATAGCGATTTTACTAAACCACTGCATAAAGTGGGGCACTGTCTCAAATAGACCCGCGTTACGTGAAATCGCATCATTGTCTAAAATTATATTTGAACAGCACAGTACAGTAACATATGCTGTTCCATAATTGATACAACTGAACAAACCATACAAAGACTATAAATATAATATGACAACACTCACGATAGATCCTTAACCGTACCTCGCATTTAAAACGCGACCTGGCCAAACCAGATAAAGCCCCGTGTCGCGCTTTCAGGGCCAGCATCCCCCTTCAGTTATTGAGTGCGGTCGGAAAAGCGGTGCTTCGCCGAAAGACATCATCAAATTGAACGGCAGCCGAGTACAAGCACAACCCAGTCGTTCAGACATACCAGCTCTCACGTCGTTTGCTCGTTCGCCACATTCAGAAACGCTCGGCGCATGCCGGCTGACAGGCGCCCACCCTGCCATCTGTCGGCAGTAGAACGCACTCTCGTTTCTCACCGCGGCCGACTAGTGTCGCTTGGTGAGCGCCATCGCCAGGCCGACAATGCCACCGACCGCCAGCACCGCTCCGCCGGCTACCGCTGCGCCCATGTACGCCTCTGGGGAACGAAACAAACGACAGGCAACAAATCAGACACCACAGTAGGGTACCGTGTCTCACGTCATATAAAGTCGGAAAAATTCAGCAATAGAGTTAGAGGCATATGATAAGATGAGATGCTGATTGGCGAGAGGAAGCCCCCAAGATACCCCTACCAGGCACGTCACCTCTTCCCTCTCCTCCCAAACCAGTGCACTCACCCCGCTCCATCTTCTTCTGTACCACCTTCTCCAGATCTTTGGCCTGCCGGTTGGTCGGTTCCATCTCCAACAGCTTACGGACGTGCTTCAGAGAATCTACGTACTCCTGGTGAAATGAAATGGCATGCACAGCTCAGCACCTCCGTGCCTTGAGTGGTATCAGACATTGAAAAAAATGCAGGTGTATCCAACTGTACGTCCTATCTCTTCGTTGTAGTCTCTACTGACAGGGTTTCAAAGCAGGTGTATCCACCTACATAGGTAAAAGCTATTCATGGTATCATCTCTTTCCTCATCACTGCTTCTACAAACGCAGCTCCAGTCCAGCCGCCGTGATTGCCATACAGTCACCACCTGCCTATCTGAACTCTGAACTTCTGCCATCCTGTGGCCAGAAGGAAGGGTCATTCCCTGTTACCTCTAGGCTCTACCCCACCTTGACTTTGGCGCAGCCCACGGCCAGGAAGTACAGGTAGTCTCTCTGCGCGGCGTCCTGCCCGCCGCCACCGGCGCTGGGCGTCTTCAGGAGTGAGGTGAGCATCTGTATGCCCTTGCGTACATCTGCCGCGTACCCGCTGCGCACCAGGCAGCAGGCGTACTGGAACTGGGTCGACTCGCTGACTGCGCCCTTTTCCGCGCGCAGCTCTTCGTAGTACTTCTGCTCAAACACCTGGGAAGGGGAGGTCACGTGGTGTCTGATGCTCACTAGTTATCATGAAAGCACAGACAAAGTCAATTGGACCAAAACACACAAAAATAGATAGCATGCAAATAAATGCAGCAAAGATGGGTACTTTTTATTTCCAAATTATAAAGCAGCTTTAGACTACGCAAAGAGCAAAGACAACTTCTGAACTTCCTACAAAAAACAATCATACATTAATTGATGTCCTTTAAATTTAAAAAGTGACCAGAATGATGTACAAATGTGTCACAGTAACATGACAATGCAGGGATTTACCTTCAGGTCCTCAACTGATATCAAATCTTCTAGAATTTCAGCCATCTTGAAGTATAACAAAAATTTGATTCACAACCTTATCCCACCTGTGGATAAACCCACTGAGTTGGTACCTATGTAACAACTTGAAAGGAAAGGAAAACAAAACAAAGCTTTTAATCTGCTAAAACACTTACACAGGAATCAGGATAGCTCAAAGCCTATGCTAACCTGCACCACCATTGTCCCAGCATTAACAATGTGATGCCCACTGGGGAGTTTGGTGTTGGGTATTGAGCAATCAGCCATTGCCACTTTACTGACACTTTACTTTGTTGCTTTGTCACTTTACTGACAACTATTTTTACTCTCACAAGTGCTGACAAAAAAGACTGGTATGATGGTAGCCTTTGTGTGGCACTGGCTCAGACTTGAGCAGCTCACTGCCCAGATCAGTGGAGACTCAGATGGTGCCTTTTTCTGACTGACCAGCAGCTGGTTATTTCTCCTATAACACTTTGCTGACTGTGTCAACAGAATGGGTCAAATTTTCAACGCCCAACAAAACATTACAATAATGTTTTCCCTTAGCATCAGAACTATGCAAGTGGATACAATAGACTTTGGTTGTTCACAAGGAGCTGCCCCGTGTAGGACAGCCAATCAAATAGGTAGGTAGTCTGTGACTCTGGTGTTGCTCCGAGTCAAGATACCACCACATAGGTAAAGGGCTGATGGCTGTGGGAGGAATGTGAGCTGTGAAAGCAATATGACTGACCAGTAACCATGTAAATTGGGCTTTATTCTACAACACATCACTAAGTCAAAGTAATCACCTACCTAACTGATATGCCTAACACACAGATAGCATAACATAACATAATGTGCAGTAATGTAGTGATGTTATGAACAAAACATTACATTGAATTGTAGTAGTAAAGCAGGTGTCACACTTCTGTGTATATGGCTGTAGGTAGTATAATGGGTTGTGGCCCTGTATTTCAGTAGGCGGAACTATGGTCAAGCGTACCCATTTTCGGGAACGCATTTTCGTTCCCATGTTTGGGAACGATAAACCCAAATATGGGAACGCCATGTAGGCATTATTTAAAACAAGAAAAAGAACCGTTAAATGACGTCCAAAAAATATAAAACGATCGTGAACCACCTGATATTTGTCTCAATATTGTTGGGAAAGAGTTTGATATTGTAAGGCCCATCGTAGTTTCAAATCGTTCCCCTATTTCTAAAGCAGTCCATCATCCGGGCCGCGAGCCCAAATTTGGGAACGCTCTCGTACACTGGCGCTGCAAGCGTTCCTTATTATGGGAACGGCGTACCCAAAATTGGGAACGATTTCACCGAAGCCTTTCAGGGGCTCTTTTCATTAACAAGCATCACGTCCAACGCCGCAAATTATTGTTAACGCAACAATCATCAGATGACCTTTCCGGCAAGACCGTCGCATGTTTCGCCCGGTCTTCTGCGCTTTTATTCCCGTCGATCTCGCAGCGGGCACGCCCCCTCTGCAGGATTACGTAATTCACAACGCTCAGCGATGTTCAACAAGGTCTTCCATATCTATATCCACCGTCCGTGCCGAGGGTGGAGACATGTCAAGCACCTGTCTGTTTATCACCGATAGTTGACGAGTACAAGGAAGTATCCAAAAATGGGAACGCTGAATATGTTACACCCTCAAAACACCTAGTCCCAATGAAAATCTAGTTTTTTCCTTTCTTAATGAGTGTAAGTGGCAAAAGGCCTGGAAGGATGGGCACGAGGAATGATCGAAATCAGCATAGAAATTATAAATAAGCCATACAAGGCGACCTATATAAGAGAAATTCCCCCAAAACGATCATGCTTAGAAACACGGAAGACAAAAACCACGCTCATGACGCTCCTTATAAAACAACGCTTAACAGCTAGCATCCAAATAAAATATGTCTTTCCGGGCTGATAAAATACAGCTGAATAATTTTCGACCACTTAAACTGAGTTTACAACAGTAGTTCGGTAAAATCACGCACGTTCTACGCGCTCGTCCGCCTCGACACCAAATGTCAACAATATTACCTCGGGACTGTCCGCGTGTTCGCTTGCATATGTCAGCATCTGTTGTCGCTAGTATGAAACTTCATAACCAGGCGAAAATTATTATACTTGACCTCAAAATGTAAAAACGCTTCATTTTCCTTAAAATTGCATGTTAAATGTAGTGTAACCCATGTTTTCACCATTCCGTCATTTCAAAAAATCATTAAAAATATCATTCGACGGTCAATTTCCTTGTTCAACGGTCAGATTAAAGATAATTTTATAGAGACTTAGTAGATACTTAAATTAGCGTGCACTTTTTTGAGACATGATGCACTAATGAGTTTTAGTGGGCGAACGGCCGAAAAATTACCTTCCGTTCTCATAAATGGGAACGCCCGTTCCCATATTTGGGAACTCCGTTCCCAAAAATGGGAACGTTCCTATATTTGGGTACTCATGACCATAGTTCCACCTACTGATTTCATGTCATGTCATGTCATGTCATGATGTTGATGTAACAAACCTGATCCGACCTCAACAACCTGTTCCCATTTCAGGCCAATTTGTATTGCATGACTCATGAGCCAATCGATTGACAAATCACAGCATTGCACCCTAAGTAGTTGAGTTGAATGATTCAAACTGAACAAAAATGGGAAGTGTTGAATAATTAGGAAAAAACATTAATAAGATGTTGTGATGATTATTAGCTCTAATTAACTACAATGAAAACGCTGGTTGCTAGGCTTCGTTAGCCTCACTGACCCATACAAGGGATATATCACCTCTCAGTTTTCAACTCTCATTCACCCTCACTCAGTATTCCTCAATTTTAATTTTAACTTATTATTTTTAATATGATGTCGTTTTGATTTCAACACTCTCGTATGAGATCGCATGCATCATGTTCGAAACTCAAGGCTCTAGCTTCCTCCAAGCTGACGTCAAATGCACCTTGCTTTTGCATTTTGAATAAAAACTGTTTGGAACACATTTTCCCAAAATAAATCACATATCTTATTATAGAAATACAAATATTTTCAAATTTGAACATAAAAAACATGTTTTTTTCAAAAGAAAACAAATTGTTATGGAAATCTGCGGCTTTTATTGACGAGGTTATACAATTGAACAGACACAAAATTTACTCTTCTATGATGAAATGTCACATATGCGCCTTTTCTGTAACAGTTAGTCATTTCGTACAGCTACCATATTTCAATCATAAAGGAATTCCTTGATGTCCTAGCAGTCGGTGCATTGGCTGGCTCTGGTTCTTCTTGTTATTGAAATCTGCCTGAACTGCCCCTCGTTTCAGTCTCGATTCGAGACGACTTCGAGTCGCTCTCAAAGTCGGACCTTGAGGTAGGTATCCGTGGTTTTCTACATACCTACCGGGGCCGAGACCTGAAGGGAAAGCCGGGGAAGCGGATGGTTGGCGGATGGAACCCCCTTGCCGTTTCATTCCTAATTGAGCCGATTGGGCAGGCAGAGCCCCGCCAGGAAAAACAAAAAACATGACCGTTACGAGATGGCTGATGCAATGACTTGTATCCGATTCTAAGGTCTCAGGTCAACTAGTGGCATATACCTAAAAGTCAAGCCCTCCGAGTCAGGGAAGTAATTAAGGAAGTAATTGTTGATGAATAACTTCGCCAAAAATGGTCGCAAAGCTACGATTTGGACACATTCGGGCATTACAACTTACAAGTGGCTTAGGTTATTGGTTCCAGGTCAACGTCAGGTCAGGTTAAAACCACTCAGATCTTAGTTGGTCGGAAGAGGTCTTGACACATGCATACCCATCATTCGATTCACGGTCTTTCCGAGTCCATTGGTGACTTTCCCGACTCTCTATCTAAATTTGGTCGGGAGTTATTGACGAAAACTCCGATGAATTTATATGTGACGTTATATAGTACAAAACGGTATATAGAAAACGGTCATTTAGTCGATGGTTGGCTGTACATTATCCGGTCATGAATACATGATGTCACACAAGTCAGCAATACAGCATTAGTATTAACCCCTGCACGAGTGTATGAAACGACGATTCCGTCTTAGATCATATGATCTAAGACGGAATGTATTTTTGAAATATTTTCGGAAAATATTTTCGGTACTAAAAATTAAAATAAAAGTTCCAATCCTTTCCCTACTGACCTTAAACGGTCACGTGAGGTCAGGTGACCGACCTGGCCTCATATGACACTTATGACTTAGGAAAACCTTAGTCGTAAAGGTTTTGAGCCGAGGTCATGGAAGATAACTAAGCACTGATTGTTCATCTCCCTGCAGAGGATCTTCCCACCCATGGGTTGGAAGATCCTCTCTCGCAGAGGGTGTTGAAGCTGTGATATTTTATTTTAGAACCGTGCCGAGGTTCACTCATGACACTTAGGTCAGTGAAGTGACCTGACCTGACCTGAAAATGTGGTTGGTGTTACAACATCCTCATTCCTCCTTGAATCAAAAGTCAGATGTTTCAACTTTCATCTCTCTACATAAAATGACCTGCGGCGCGCTCCGAGCATTGAAAAAAATGTCTGGGGAATAAAATTACGTAGTGTAAGTAAGCTTATATCTAGTTACGCCCATTCCCAGATCGTTAGCATTTCTGTCGTGTCTACCCGCGCCACAGACCTCTCGTGCGCACCTGGCACTTGGGTGGCATTTTGGGTGATTGACGGTCATTTAGCCCAAACGTGAGAGCGCCGGGCGGTACACCTACCTGACGCAAACTAGATCTATACACCCCTCGGCGCCACCCCGGGCGAGTCGCATGTCTAACGCGTCGCGCTTTCCACTTGATTCACAGCCTTGGTCTAGTGATTGAAAAGGGAAGTGAACGCTGGACAGCCATTCTTTTATAGTGTTTCCGCGGCCACTCGCGCTCTCCCCGGGGCTTGTGAGTGAACAGAGCATCGGAATTACTACGCGAGTGGACAATGAGCGATGAACTTTCGTATTTCGCTAGGAGCTGCTTTATATCGGAGTGCCGATGGAAATGGTCCGGTGCTGCTCGGAGTTCCAGCTGAGACCGAGCTGATTAAGGGATTTCTGTGAGAGGGATATGTCAGGCTGTGTGCTGTGACGCATTTCGGTATTCAGGTAAGTCATTGAATGATACCTACCTAGGCATTTAATCATCGTTTCAAAGAAACTACATTCCGGCAAATGTACTTTCTGGAAATATGTAGGCATATTCAACTGATTCTGATTTGCCGTAGCATTCGGCACAGTGGCACCATAAAAATTAACATGTCTTTTTGCTCAGGTAATTCTTATCGAGTCTCGTCATTTGGTGCTATTCGTCATATGTGCAGTGTTGCAGTCTCCGTGACTTGGGCCGTCCTTTTTCCAATAACCGCGCAGTTCCGCCGCTTTCGTTGATGACTAGCTGACACGTTATAGGTAGTCACTATAGTCAGGAACGTTAATCGTGGGTCTCAACTCTCAGGTACCTATGTACGTTCGATACCGTCCGTCCGAAAGAGCAAGAGCCACTCTCATCCCTTATTGCAGTGATAGGTACTCGCTGAGCATTTGCTTGGGAGATCGATCAGTGTCTTGCTTGACTTTTGATGGCTATTTCATCCTCCCCAGCTCGCGTTCTCTAAAAGTAAACTGTTCTTAAGAGTTCAGTTGATAATAAGTACGAGCCCCATTTCCCAATGCATCCTTTTATGTGAATCTAATGCGAACACAACATTCAAAGTCACACAAGAAGAATGTCGGATTTTAGAATACCTATTCCAACACCATAACTACATAACTATGTAGCTTTCTCAGAACACCCTTAGGCCTAACTACCCAGTTTTTAGCCACTTATTCCCTGCCTGGAACTTACCCTGCATCGTATCTAACCCCTCCAGCTCACATTCTCCCAGAACTTTCTTCGACGTAAGCGCAAATTCCAGACCCTCATTTTCCCTATGCAGACGCCATTAGCCGTGCACCAATGATCCCCATGCACGCCAATGCTCACAAACTGTGCACAAGTGCAGACTCGCAGGTCAGGCAGTCAGCGAGATGAACCGTGTTGGTGGGATGAACAACTTCATCCCATGAGCTTATACTCGTATGCGCCCGATGTTCCCGTCCCGTCCCCAGTGCTCTAAGCTCTTCACCATGTCTAGTAGGGGTACCCATTTTTCCCGATTTTGGAAATTTGAGGGTGGGGGTGGTTTTTCCCATTATTTCGCGGCTCCTGATTCCAATGATGCCAAAAATATTGAAATCAAAGGTGGTTTAGGGGTCGCGAATTGAGATTGAAATTTGCGTATTTACCTAGAAATATGCCTATTTTACGCTGATAGTAAATCGCACCAAAGGCAAACTTTTTGTTTCGAAAGTCGGGTAGAGGGGTCATTGAGCGCGCCTTTTTCATCCAGATCGATGTGCTCCATCACGTGGTTCCGGTTAAATGCCTTACTAGTGATCAATGCAAGTCGATATTGCAACATTTGGTGAAAAGCGCCGTGATGTTTTGCTCCTGTTGTTGGTATCATTCTGGTCGGCGTGTAATCATTTTTTTATATCTTCTGCCTTCATGTGACCTTTGGTGACCTTTGGCATTGGTGACCTTTGATGACCTGTGAGGTCAAACTTAAATATGACGTTTCAGTTGCCACATCTCAGTTCATGACAGGCTTTTTGTGTCCATACAATTAAAGTTTCCGCAAATTAGCTCAGGATACATCTCACAGGTTATGGCTCCGAATGGACTTCAAACCACGTAATTCAAAAACGATCAAACCATTTTGACCGTATACTTCCACAAGACACGCCGTCCTGATCGCTGACCACAGGCGGCGGAACGGGGAGGACACCGGAGCACCGTGCCCCCCTTTGATTTTGGCATTTTAACATTAGCCCTAGGGGCGTTGCATGGAAAGAATGGGACCAAAAGTCGGCAGTGCCCCCCTTAATTGAAGGTGTTCCACCGCTACTGTCGCTGACGGCTACGATGTAATACACGTATGAGACAGGTAGAATAACTCTGGGTGTTCTACCCAAAAATATCAACTTCTAATCCAAAAACATAAACTCCAAAGCGTCGATTCTTTCCATGCCTACCAACCATGTACCTACTATTCCATTTCTTCAGTGGGGATACGAGTACACGTCTTAAGTGTAAGAGGTTCCGATACAATGCACATTGCACATCATTTACGACTTTGCATTTTCGACCACGGGCGACTAGCCATGCGCTGATACGTGCATAGCTGATAAGTGACGAAGACCTTTCACTGCTACTTGCACAGATCACTTGTGATCTGAGGTGATTGGCGTATGAATCTGAAGAACCTAATGAAGCAGAAGATTTTCATCCTGCATGGGCCGTATATGGTGGTAACCAGGACGCGGCGTCATATAAAAGAGTGTGCGCGCAGAGGCTGAAGACGAGAACTAGGTCCGCCACCTAAGGTCCATGGCCCACCCAATGTGTCGGCCCCCAGGCAATGCCAGGAGTCAGTAAACGGATCTGCCTCGGAGTTGGCTGAGTCGTTTAGACTTGGCACCTTCCTAATCTCCAGCTTTAGCCAATGCCATTCGACTTCAGTTCAGCACCATCTGAGGGTTTGGACTGGGCATGTAGAGTGCAGCGTAAGGTCCGTTATCTTGCAAGGACGCTGCTGGCAGCGGCCATCACCAGGCACTAGTTCCATGACATGATATCTGCACCCGTCTCAAGTTAACAATATGTCAACAGTCTAAACAAAAGTCTGTATGTGGGTGTGGGTGTTTGTGGGAGAGGGGCAAAGCTACACTCATACAGCAGTCACCCAACGGCGCGGTGGTGTAAAGCTTGCGCCCCTCCCTCACCCGTGTCTGCAACTCCGGGACTATAGGGGAGGTCGGCTAGCGAATTGGCAAAGGTCATGCATA